GGAAATTTAATCCGCATCACCGCATGTTTAGTATAAAAAAAAGAAGGTTTAATGACCGTCATAAAGCGCGAAAGTACTCGCGGGAACGAATTTTGTTTCTGGATCCCTAATTCAATGTAATTATAAATTAATTGGCGCATAAAATGCGCGCCGATCGCATGAGAAAATGTTTGAAGCGAGACGTTCGTTGCGTCAATTGTTTTCGTATTGGTAATGGAAGTTAATTCGGCCTGTTAGAAATTGTGCAAGGAGTTATCGAAAAAGTGCTTTCGAACGGGAAAAAGTGAGAGGCTCCCGGCGAACCACGGCGCGGCGGGCAATTTTCGTAATAAATTGCCGTTAATTCTGAGCGTGAAATCGGAAAACGATGAAGACTTTACACCTTGGAATGCTTAAGAAGCAACATGGTCACGCAAGCTGCATGTTGTTTTAACATCCGTAACGTTTGCAATATCTTTTGTCTGAGTAAATAGTACGTCATACGACACAAACATATCTGCGGATAAAACGTTGATTTCCTAGGAAAGTATTGCGATTAAAGCAAATGCACGACCGCATAGGCCTATTCTTCTGCTTTCTTTCTTAAAAACATTACAAGCGCGCCGTAAGATTTACAGCAATCATTTATCTGGACAAAAAAAAGAGATGAAAAATAGGATTTTCTAATTATCTAATATTTTTCATTGGTAGCAGCGCGATTAAGGAAATCCAGAAACTCCATTGAGTAAGGACTTGAGAACCAAAGTCTGACCAGTTAATAAAACGTTGCGAAACAATTACGCGACGGCGAAGGGAAGATAAGAGTGCCGAGGTAGTACGTCAAAGATTCGTTACAGTCCTCGCGCATTTCGACCTCGATTTCGAACGAATAACACGGGCGGGGGATCGATGCCGATTCGAGGCGTGAAATTCAAAGGCAACAAGCCGGGATACGTGCGGTAATGACTCGTAATAAGCGTCCGGAGCGCGGCGGTGTAAGCGACTCGAAAAAGTCGTTAACTGGTCGGAAATCGGTAATCACGTGGAATAATCGACGCCTCTTATAAGTGCTTACGTTTTTGTGCCCCGTATTAGAAAGAGCCGTGTGCGCGAGCGCGCGACGCGTCACCGCGGGTGTTTCACGCGTAAGAAGCGGTCGCGTCGACGAGCGGGCGTAGGGCTGTTATATAGTCAGTCCCCGCAGTGGGGCCCTTTCTTGCCTTGCCCAGGGTCCCAGCGGCCCTCCTTTTTCTCGTCGCGTTAATCGGACTCAAGCTGCGCATATCTCGCGGTAATGAGGATTATCCTCTTTCCGCGCAGGGGCGGATAACGACAGACCTCGAAGGTCTGAAGCTGACCTTTAGGGCCTTGCGTATAAAGGAGATGATATAAACGAGAAATTGGAAGTATTTTGATTTCATCCATGAAGTTAGAATTTTCCGGAGTATGAGTATCCATTATGTTCAATATTTTTTACACTTTTATATTTTTTAGTAATGAAGAACATATGACATTTTTCTATAACATCAAAATAACACATCCTCATGACATCAAATTATTTTATTCTGTCTCGTGTATATTCTGATCTAATATTTTATATTTCTACCCATTTATATAATAGATATGTTATAGTTGCCATTATTTAACTCTATCTTTATTCTTATCTCTATTTATCTCTTACCTCTATAAAGATCTGCTTACCTATATAGATAAGTCATTTTCTCGTTTAATTAAAATGCAATAAAAAATCATTACATTTATTCCAAAAAATTAGAAAATAATGTTACCTGCCTTATTATATCAAAGTAAATCTTATGCTATTATTCTAACTTTCAAAGATTGAAATAAATATTTCCGAATTATTATTAGAATTATTTGATGAAAGTTCTCGACAGTTGGCCGTTTTATTAGTTTACAAATAAATCCGCCCCTGTTTCCGTGAGACATCTTTTTATTCGGTCCCCACGAGAGTCGCGCTTACTCCCCTGGAACGCGCTCGCCGAACGAACGAACGAATGAACGGGATATCCTAATCGTACGGTTCATTATGAGCGCGCGCACGCTCGCTCGCGATGACTATGACTGATGCCGCGGCACGACGAATTGCGATGCGCATTACGAATAAATATCGCACTCTTTGCTCCGCTCGCGCGTCTAATGCGGCCGCTCGCAGATGGCCACTTGGGTGGGTTTCGAAAATGTGCGCACGCGGCGGTCGGCGCGAAATAACGCGCGCGATTAAATTAAATTGCGTACGCGCGGCTTTTCATCAGATCGCGCGATAAACATATGTCGGCGGTGATGTTGCCCAAGACGATCGATTTATCACCGCGATCAATCACGCGTCCGCCTTAATTCGCGCGGCGTTTAAGCGCCAAACCGCGTAACAACGCGCTCTAGGCGGCGCTCGAAAACGTATCCGTCAACGCGGAAACCCGCGCGATTGAATTAAATCGCGTGCCGCCGCCGCGAACATGGTGAAACGCGAATCGGACGCGCCAACGCGCGATCGTACGGCGTTATGCAACAAGAACAGTGCAACGTTTCTTGACAAAGCAGATTCAAGATCCGAAGATGTATTGTTGCTTTTGCCTTACAATGAAAAAAATAAATAAATAAATTTTAACTCAATCGACGGGCACTCGCCGATAGAAAATATCGGTCGGAAGTAATTAGAGATATTATGAAAAAAAGGGTAAAAAAATAATATAAATTACAATTTGTTAAATTATATTTCTTCCAAAAGTAATCGTTTCCGAGGAATATATATAGTTTCCCTTCTCGACCCGTGGAATTTATACGAAACAAAAGGAAAAGCCCAAGGACTTCGCTGTTAATTTGAGATTCGCGTTAATTTGGATGGAGATCGAATTATGTCGCGGAAATCGCGGTTACGCTTGCACGGGGCGGCGCGGCGCAACGTGCCGAGGCGAGACGTGCGAGATTCCGTGGCCGCCATCTATCTTCGGGCGCGCTGGTAGCGAAGAAAGAGGGCATAATTAAATTAAATTAAGCTCGGGACGAGAGCTCTCCTCTCTCGGCCTCCTTCCGTGACTTCCTTTCCGTCCTTCCCGCCGCCACCACAGCCGCCGCCGCCGCCGCCGCCGCTGCCGTCCTACCGGCGGCGATAGTCGCCCGACGCCGCCTTTATTTGCAAGCAATTTGCGCTCGCGGATCGCGCGGCAAAAAATCCGAAAATAATGCTCGCGTATTAATCATACCCTCCGCGTGCCCGCGCCTCCCTCCTCCCATCGTCCTCGTGACGTCTCTCCTCGCCGCTCGTCCTCCGCGAGGGGTCCTTTCGAGGGGGCCCCCCTCGTCGACATGCCCCGTGTCCGATGCTACCCTCTTCTCTCCCTCCCTTCTCCGCAAAAATGCGTTCCCGTTCGTTGCCGGCGCATAGCTGTGCAATCACGTGCCGAGATCCTTTGTGGTACATGTGTGTAAATTTGTATGTGTGTATGTGTACGCGTCTCTCTCAGGCGCCCATGCACTGCCTGAAATCGAGTCCGAGGAAGCCGGGAAAGAAGCACCGCAGGACGCGTTAGCTCTTTAGCACCCTTTGGCAAATTAGCCTCGGCGACGAAACTCCTAATTCCATCGCAATACACATGTTAGCACGTACGTAGGTGTTACATGCGATGTATGCAGCGTAAGCTTTCCGACATTGCTGCCAGCACGGTTTTACACCGACCCCAAAGTGCACTAGGCTCCAAATTAAATGTAATCATTTAATATTTATATGTCCATTTACTATTAATATAAGAGCAAGACTGGCACTTGAATTTGATATCAAAATGCAAAATGCATTCATCGGAACATTAAAAAGTTAAAAAATCTTGAGCTGTATGTCGAGTTGTAGTAATAAACGAATAGATGTTCTTGAAATAATGAAAATAGTAGATAATACAAGTTTGAACTTTTGTCGAACTGTGAGATACTTCGACAGAAGGTAAGGAGTAAAATAATATTTAACACTGCAAAACATAAAATACTAACGTTCTTAATGGTCGATTGAGTTCAATTCTAACAAAAGAGTGAGTCGCAATTTCGTGACCACGGTAGGAAGGTATGCTGGAGTGGAAACGAAAGCGCAATTAGCGTGATATCGTTATGACGCCGGCGAAATGGCGGTTTTGTAAGTACGTACTATCAGAAGGCGATTGCTAATTATCGTGAGGAGAATGAGATAAGCGGAGCCGCGGGCAGCGAAAAAGGGAGTTAAAACGTTGCGCGATCTCGTGACCACGAAAGCGTATTCGACGTAGCCGTAGTCATACCGTGCGATTAGCGGCGATATCATTACAGTTAATTTCCTCTAAACCGGGCATTTTCCGTCGTACTGCATTTTGCCGCAGCGTATTTGCCACCAATTAGTAACAATTGCGGAAAACTGAAGAACGTTACAAGAACGATCTTAAATGACATAAAAAAATATATAGTGTAAGAAGAATATAAACTGCAGTTAAATAAAGATCAAATTGTTATTAATTATAAAATTTGTTAATTCGTTAAAATGTCAGCTGGTATGAGCATTAAAACGTGAAAATTCTTGGTATTTAATAAAAAAAAATAATTCCACTAGAGTATTCAAAATAGTAAAAAAGACAAATATTATTTAATAGTCCTAATAGACGCAAGAAAAATATTAAAAATATTACAAAAATATCTGAGTATATGAAAAGATAAATAATACAAATGTAAATTAGGTTAAAACATTTAATATTTATTAACATAATGAATGTGTAACGCATGATGCACCCTTAAAAACTGCATCGTTCTCCGGCCGACCGGATGCTGCCCAGCCGATTGCTGTGGCGATGATTAGACATGGTGTGCCCAAAAGTTTTTTCCTCTCGACAAGAAAATTTTTATATCAAGTACACATTGCAATTGTTAATATACATTTGAAATGTAAAAAGTACAAGTTGGTCAAACGAATATTGAAACTTTAGCATGCTTGCTTGTATAGCATCGTGATATATATATATATAACAAAATAAATGTATAGACTTTCCTCCTTTCTCATCTTTATCTCTCGTTTATTCAATTTCTGAATAGTTATCGCTAACTAATCGCAACTTTCTATCTTTACAATAATACCGCGTAACTTTCTTTGCGTAAAAAATTCTTACCTTGTATTCTGGGTCTTGTATTTGATATCCTGCGCCAATGTTGATCAAATGTATTAGCTCGTTGTCGAGAGGAGTACTCGTGTGTGAATCAAGAGCTGATACGAGCACGAAGCTATCTATAAACAACTATAAAGTTCTTCCTCTATCATTACTATTGTTCTGAACTTCTCCTCTTTAATACTATGAGAAGTACTTTTCCCTCCTTTCTCCGACTTTGGAATCGTTTGAAACACACTGTTATCTTCGAGTATACCCGTCGAGATTTCCCGCCAACGATCTCCATGTCGATCCAATCGATCGATCAAGAATTTTTTTTCCCCTTTCTCCTCTTTTCGAAGCGAAGAAGCTTTCTTACTCTCTGAATTCCGTAACCTTTCATTTTCCTATCGTTTAAAAAATACTAAAAACCAAGACAACCAAAAAATTTTTACGCAAAGAAAGTTAAAACATGCGAGTGTTGCGAGTGTTCACAGGGAGCGAATCATAAACGTGAAATCGCTGTTCCTGTTTACACATGTACAATCGAGCCAATGTACAATCGCGACGGGGACTACTTCTTTGGCTTCTTCGGGGGTTCGAGGCCGCTATCGTATTCGGAGGTGTTGAGCATTCTGACCCTCTTCAACAACCCCGTTCTTTGCCCGCCGTCGCCGGTCCTCTGCTTCTTTTGCGGCACCCCGTCAGATCTGGAAGTGAGAATAGCCGGCGCGCACTTTAATTCTCGCACATTAGGACTAACCCGCAATTTTCGATAATTCGACGTAAACGACATGTGGTGAGGACAGAGCGCGGTAATCGGAAATTGAGGTAAAAAAAAGTAAAATAAAAAAGAAAACAGGACGCGCGCGCGCATCAAAATGCGACGATACACCCCGCGGACGAACGGAGGTGGGCTTCCACCAACTGCCGTACCGAATTTCATGTCCGCCACTACGTTTTTGTCCACCGCTGCGCGTCACGCACGAAGTGCGCGTTATCATGCTTTATGGTCTACAATGGCAGCTCCCGTTTAACCCGATAATTCACATGTAAGTTTTGCCATTAACTTTGCAGTAGTGATCTTGACACGATATTTTTAACTACAATTTTTAACTACAGATTACACATATATCAAGTAATATATTATGTATAAGAAAAAAATATAAAGTTAATTTAAAATATATCGCATCATATCATATCTATTTATTTAATAAAAAAAAATATATACAAACAACATATATAAATAAAGTAACTTAGGAAATTTAGTTCGATTAATTTAAATAAAGCTGTTTCCGGAACTAGATACAAGTATAAGTACTCAATCAAATTCTATAAACTAAAAATAGAAAAAAAGATGTAAATATAAAATATTGATTATATATTTTATCTCTCTCAGTTTCAGAATGACATTGATCGTTTCATATATCGATATACGAAATCATGAAAATTTTCGCCGATTTTACAACGGTCCTTGCAGTGGACTGCAAGGAGGACGACGTGAAACCGCGTCAAGCACACGAGTGCATACATACAAACGCACTTGGACTAAGATACGCACACAAACGTACAGGTAATCGCACCCACAGAGGCGTATACCGTGGTCGTCTCTCGATCCATTGGACCGTCAGCTCAGTGCCCGCCTTTCACCCATTAAAACTGACTCGTTCTCTCCCCGTGCGGAGGGCACCAGTCGGTTGCCCGTCGTGCTCACCCAAAGCACGCCCATTCAAATCGCATTAAACACGTTAATGCGTAATGCCGGTCTCGGGGAAAAAGATTCGCCGCGCGTAACGCGAAAAAAAGGGCACATAGAGGAGACGATGTGGAAGGAAAGAGAGAGAAAGAGAGAAACAGAGAACGTGAATATGGCAGCGCAGGCAAATGATCGCCGGAGAACACAGGAATTATAAAGCTCGGTAAAAAACGCGGGAGGTACTCGTGTGATGTAGACGACATGATACATGAAGCAGAAGGGACGTAGAAATTACGAAGTACAGTGCCCGTGGTGGTTGGACTTGGCTCGTTTGCGGCCGTGAAAAGGAGCAATGGACTAAAAGTATTTGTGTGCGTGTGTGCGCTCCGGTTTATGTGTATATATATATATATATATGTATATATATATATGTAAATCAAAGCATAACAACAGATAAAATAACTGTGATTTAACTGTGATAAAACTAGATATGATCACAATTGTAACAAATTCACATTTAAAATGAAAACAGGAAGAACTTGTAGAGTATATATCTTTTCATGTTTATATTAGAAATTATTGTACGTTCACTGAAATTAAAAGCAGAATAATGCATGAATGGAGGGCGGGAAGTGTTCGTGTCAAAAAAATCAGGGCACGCAAGAGGGCACACGCGAGCGGGGGGGAAGAAGTATGCGAGCGGGCAGGTAGGTGACAGTTTCAGGATTTCGAGAACGCGAGCGAGACGGAACGACGGGGGCAAAGAGAGGAGGGAGAGGCTCGTGCTCGTCCCGTGGTTTCCGTAAATGGCGCAGCCACGACCGGAAGTGGCGGTCGCATCAGTCTGTTTAATAGCCGTATTGTATAATTATGAACAATGGAGAGATAGAGAGGGAGAAAGAGAGAGAGAGAGAAGGAGAGACGGAGAAGCCTGGAGAAGGGCAGAAGCCAGCAGAGTGCCATGTGAAATGCACACCGCATGAAGATAGAACGTGAGATAGAGATAGAAAGAGGGAGAGAGAAAGATAGAGGAGGCAGAGAGCAGCGAGAGAAGGAACGAGACACATTTGTCGCGAGCGAGCGAGACGACGTGAGTTTGGATGGAGTGAAATGGAGGGAACGCGCGCGCGGCCCGGGGGAGAACGGCGACCACAACGAGGACGAGCACGATGAGAGCCGTATGGCTTATGGCTGCCGGCCACCGTAGAACACACGTCCGCCCGTTCGTCGTACATGACGGATGACACAGAGCGACAGTTTTGATGCGTCCAACCTCTCCAGGAGCCGCACCGAGCTATCCCGTGTACAGGCGTGTGCGTGCCCTACGCCTGTATATGCGCGCGCGGGGGTAGGCGGCGAAGAGGAGGAGGAGGAGGACGAGGTGGAGGGCCGGGGATGTGCGCCGCGGTTAACACGCCAAGCCACGCGTGAATCCGTCATTAATACCGTCACTCCGGAGACGATGGGCTTCGCGATCGCGCGGCTGAAACGTCAGCTGAGCGGGTCAACAGCCGGACCATTCGTGATGTCCTCTCCCAAAATGGGAGCATATTGTCTACCGCAACTGTGCGTGACGCCAAGTGCGCGCTTCCGAAGTTGTGTATCCATGGCGTATACGTGACGCCTCGATAGGAACAAAACGGGACTTAGAGAACGTGTCGATCGCGACTTTCATACGTACATTCCAGAGCGTAAAGATTAATCCGGGTGATATAGCTCCGCGAAATACATTCACGTCTCGTAAATTAGAAAAAAAAAAGATAGGAAATTACTGATACTTACGGCTTGTTCGATAGACGGTTATTGTGTCTTGGTCTCGAGATTTCTTTCTCGTGTAGCTTCTTGCCGATTCCGCCGATTCGTTGCGGCGGATCCCTCAACGCGAAACTCTTGGCATAGTGACCCAAATGAAGCTCCTTTCGATTGAATATCTCGCGCATATCGCGCGTATAACTTGAATAGAAACGCACCCAGGAGACGTAGGCTATATGGAGGGGAAAGATGTAAAATGTATTCTTTATGTAAAATAAAACAATTACCTTCCCATCCATTCGTTCTAATTGTAGATGTATGCATCAGATTATTTACGGACACGTTAAGTATGATAAAAAATGTAGCACAATTATTCTCGTGATGTACAATAATTACGCTTGGAGAAATAAATGTGTATTTTGTTTCAAATTAACCCCGACTTTTGGCATTGTTAAATGAATTATTACGCAAATGTCTGTTGAAATTAATAGTAAAACATTAAATGTCAATTAAATGTTTCGTGTATAGTCTCTCAAGACGGAGTAACGTCCTGAAATGCGGATAAAATGGAGAGGTGCCACCATCAAGCACACTTATCTCGTCTACGTTTAAGAGGTCACGTGCAACTCTCGGATGTAATGATCAGTTACATGTAGTGCGCCCTTATTAATCGCAGTTCCATTAGGTGGTTCTGCGGGGGTTGGACCGCGCGATTCCGTGGGGTGTGTGCGCGCCCCGTGGCGGGCTATTAAGAGGCATTAGCGGTGAGGAGGGGGTAGTCGAGTCAAGTGCTGCAGCTAATAGTCACCCTCGCGTCCCTTCTTAACGTCCTCTTGCCTGCGCGCACGGGTGAGAAACCCGGGGGATCTCTGGTCCTAAGAGAACTCGACATGTGCACACACCGCTGGCGTTCCGTGTGAAAAATCTCTCGGTCTGATAGAACGGTACGAATTTGGCCTCCGGTTATTCGTACCGAGCGTCACAAATTGCTTAAATTTCTGTATTCTAGCAGCAAAGACATTTCGCGTAAAATGATGACTATTACGTCAATAATTATATAATAGTGGAACGAGATACGAAACAGGAAAAATTATCTCGTGTATTTCACCTGTCAATTTCTCAAATAAATTAAATGCTGTTTGGACGTATTCTTTGTGTCTAATCGCGGCATTTATATTTCTCTTGAAATATAATGGGCGCAATTTATATGTGGCTGAATAGATTTAGTTACATGTTCCACTTGAATCCCCTGCAAGTATCTCTAATTTTCATAATTCTCTCGCGACAGGATTTATATCTCAACATTTTCCGTTCTGATTTCCGTCTGCTTCCAATCTCGGCTCCTCCCTTCCGCGCATAAGAAACGCTGCTGGAATCTTTCTTGCGGCTTGGTGTCAGCGTTGAAAAGGGAGAAATGTTTTTCTCCATTTAGCACATAAATCACACGTGGGGGCGGTGTCTAACTGAGAAGCCGGCGCGGCGGGAAGAATGGGGGAGGGGGAATGTAAGAGTGGGGTAGCATTGTTCCTAAGTGATGTAACTGCGTCTTATTGTATTTGTATCCTGTATCGCATTGTTAAGAGTCTCTCGCCACAAAGCGTAAGTGGTTTTGGCGGAAGTCACATTCAGTGGTTGGATTGTGTCGGCCACCCTCTGTGAAAGGCGCGCGAACGATATACAGCGAATTCGATCTAACTCGCGACGAGTGCGTGAGATTGGCTCAGCAGCGTCACGATTGTTGCGGTAATAATTAGCAAAATATTGCTTTTTTTTAGATAAATGTTTTAAAAGCTCGATGAAGTGATATAAAAATATAAAACACATGCGAGACCATCTCAAATTCATACAAATGCGATTCATCAATGCAAATATTTCAATTTACTTTTTATCTCGAGTGTAAATCAAATAAATTCATTTGATGATCGAACAAATGAGATAAAATAGGTCCGATTGTTATTCGATTATTATCTATATTGTGCTATTTTTCTGTTAAGTTATAATATTAAAAAAAATATTTACAGAGAATTATGACGAATGGAATATAGCCGAGCGACCGACACGAGGCTCAAATCGTATATATGGGATAGGAGTGAGGGATGAATCCCTCAGGTTAGTGGCGAGGGTCGCAGCTCGGGGGGGTCGTTCTATAGAACTGTACTTGCTATTGAAGGCTGTTCGGCTCTATTGGGGTGATAATGTTACGAATTAGCGAGATTTCCACTTCTCCGACCGGTCTCCGCATCAGTTGTGAATTAAATAAATTTTGGAATTGTCGCGAAGAACGCAGAACGCGTCCACGTGCTGCACTATTTGCCATTGTTGTGCTTTTATTGTATGAAACATTTTTACGATCTTAATTCCAACACTATGCCTTGTATTATGTCCGATATACGACGCTGTCATATAAATATAGCTGATTTTTTCAGCCTAATTGTGTAAAATATAAAGTAAAGCTGATATTAGATGTATAATTACATAAAATTGCAATAAAAATGCAAATAGAAAAGAATATTGGAACATATGAAATATAATTTTGGGAAAATAATTTTTACTTGTATCAAAAAAATTATTCTTAGTCAATTATATAATTTCAGTAAGCGCAACGCGTACGTTATTATCCTTAAGATAAATAAAAGTATTTCATAATAAAAATATTTATAGATATTATTTTCCTCTTTGTTAAAAGAGATTTTCCCAAACATTCTGAATTATCTTTGTCGATATAGGCACATATTAGAACAAACGAATGACAGACAGTAAATGCAAATGGTCCCAGATAGATATATCCAGAGATGTTAACTAATTTGTTATCCACTTCCTGCTTACCTCTGATTCGCTCCCCCGGTTTCCATGCGAAAAGTGCAATACCGAGGTCACGAACGGCGGCAGCAATTAATCTATCAATCACTCGGTACGTGCGGAGGAACGGTCAAGTGGTTAGCTGTGTAACGTCACTCAAATCTGGGGCGGCTAAGCGCTCAAAAACCGTGGCTAACCTTCGTGTAAAGCCTCGGCTGATGCGGGACAATTTCGAAGCTCGAAAACCTCTTAAAAAGATTAATGGTCCCGAATTTCCTTTTTGGGAAATGCTCGTCGTTCGCGCAGTTATGGCAATCGACGTAACATCCAGTCGTTAATGCACTTTCGTAAAAGTAAATCTTCGCAAGATAAGCGAGATTCGTTTACATTGTTGTTATTGCGTCTCAGTAAAAAGCAGACATTTTACTAAAGTTACTCAAGTTTAATAAGAAAAAAAAAAAAACTTGGAATTATGTATCCGATTTTACGTATCCGTATTCATAAGCGCGTTGAATAAAGTAATCGAGAAGTAGTTTATGAAAGCAACAAGTTAACGATATTTATACGGAAAAGCAAATAGATTTGCGGGGAAAAAAAGAGTCATCGTGAATGTGAAGAGGGCTAATGTCTTCACTTCACGAGTATTAGACCGGGGTATAATGGATTTATTATTGCAGCAAATAAATTCTTCTCCGTAACGACCCTAATAGAGTAACCGTGGCATAGCAAACAGGATCATCCCTCCTCGTCCGTAGACTATGTAAATATCCAAGTGGCGAACGAGGCGAAATGTGAAGGGAGACGGAATAAGAGCCCCATAACGTGTACGCGTAGGGGTTGCTTTATATGCAAGTGGGGTGCTCGCTGGAATTGGCTTAGTCTACCCTGAAAGTCAGCTCGCTTTCGTTACAATCCAACTGCGTCAAAGTAGATGTTCGCTCATCCTTCGCAACTCCTCATCAACACTTTGCCTCTCTCACGAAAGCAAAGATTTAAGCTTTTATTGCACGCGCACCTCTTACAAAATATACGCGCAAATATATATGCTAATAACTTAGGAAGGGAATTACGTAACTATTTGTGTAGCAGAGTAATTTACTATGCGATAGTTTGCCTTATTATTATTAAACTTCAGTCAATATGTTAAATTTATAAATATACATCCGGTTTTCAATCTCGATAATGATTGATAAGCTTATAAAATCAAAAGAAGAAGTGTATGTACGTTTTGTATTATGTGGCGCAAATCGTAAAATATTGCACTTACCTTTACACGCGTTCGCGCCAAGTTGCTGATTCTCCAACACTAAATCTTCGAAGTCGTTTTGGAGGGCGACAGCCGCTGCCTGCACGGAGCTGTGCCTGGAAAGGGGCCCCAGCAGCTTGTTCAGGACATCGTTCATGTCCTGCTGCTTGATTCTGATGCGCCTCGACTCGAGCATCCGCACGAACTCGATTTCCGCGGGCGTCAGGAAGATTGTCGCCGTGCCGGAGCAGCCCGCGCGCGCGGTTCTACCGATTCGGTGAACGTAATCTCTAGCCGAAATCGGACCGGTATACTGAACGACGCAGTCTACTTTCGGCATATCTAATCCTCGAGCTGCGACATCCTGGATAAATGAAAAGAAGAAATATACCTTACATATGGCGATTTGCACGTCGAATATCTTCCAACGAGCCTTTGTTATTATAAATATAGATAAGAATATAATAACAAAACTATTTAAATCCACTATTTAGTCAATGATTATTGCAACCGTTCATAAATTACTCCACGCGGATTCTATAAAAAAAGGCGTAGCTTTAGATCTTTTCTAGACGAAGGTACGAAGCATCTCGAACTTGATATTAAACAATTCGATCGGATGAGAACCGAAACCTCGTCATTCCGCCGCAATTTGTCCGGAACAATGTTCTCGGTAGTTATCGCGCTCCAACTCTATACGAGAAGTGGCTCGTTCCACGAACAAGAGCGGCAACGGCGAGTCTGCGACCTGCTGGTACAAATGTCTTACAAACCGCGGCGATTTCTCGTTTTGTGGCGACGTGAATGCGCGCGGCTGGCAGCGGGCGCCCGCTGCGAGACCCCAACGGCGAACGTTTGAGCACGGCCCTGATTTCCTACGTTCGGCTAGTCGATGATTTACCGCGGCGAGAGCCTTCCACCGGGTCTCTCCGCTTGACGGGCCCCGGGGACTAATCCCAGACCACCAGTGGGGGGCGTCGCGGCACCCCGGAATTCTTTCGCGGCACGATACGGATGTGTATCCGTGTATTCTTATTACATCTTTTCCTGCTATTAATTCAACATACGTCGACGACGGCGCGAGCCGGGCGCCAGCGTGAAGGAATACGAGAAGAGAACCTCCCCGGCCCAATCGAAATAAATGTTGATCGGGCCGAATCCTCTTGAGCTCGCCCCGTGATTCCGTTACCTCTTATCGCTTGATGATCGATAAAGCAATTTTAATTTTTTCTTTTAGCTATTTTAATTCGTGCGATTAAGAATAATTAATGAGAGCAAAAGGAGAAAAAGAAATAAAACGAAAGAAGAAGTTAATGTTTGCGATATGAAATTTTGTACAACATAATATCCACAAAGCTAAAAAGAGTTACAAAAGCACATCAAGTGATTTACATAGCTTTCACGAATAATCCCAGATTGTTTATTATGTAGAAAATAAATAATATAAAAATAACTTTAGCTTTTTAATGTTTAACGTTAACTAATATTATCACGGTTTAAATTATCATTTTGAATTGACTTTGCCAAAGAATATTTCTCTAACGTAAGTCTGTAATCACGGCGCTCGTAATCAGAGCAAGTGCACTTGGCACATTAAAACGATACAAGCACGACCACCTGCCACCGGTTTCAACATACGTAAAGAGAGCAGAGCGCTGAAGAGCGATCGATGGCGGCGATTAAGACAAACGATCGTTTAAGAAAGGGACCGGAGAACGCGCAAGCCGCGGGATCGAGAACGGATCGCCCGCTCAAAACATCTCACTCGGGCCATAGATCACATCGTGGATCCGGATCCACCACCGCTGAGAGCCGCGGAACATTCCGGCCGCGGGTGCCCTCGTGGCTTTTCAACGTGGAAATTAATAACGCGGCCCGTAAAACCTACGTGGTAGCGACGCTGTAAAACGTGGGCGGTTGCCATCGCGCATTCCGCCGAATCAACATTAAAAAGTTAAATATGCCCGACGTCTCTCTAAGTACACAGTAAATTATTCCGCTTTCTTCCTTTTCCTTCTCGTGCTTTTACCAACGTTGGCAACATCACATCAATACCTTCGCACGACCGGGATTCATCGATTCATAAACAACTTTAGTAAATGCATGGCATGTTCTTAGCAGCGCAATTATTCATGTATTTTTAATACTTTGGCTTTTTATATTTTAATGGTTTTGATAAATCCACCTGTTTTTAGATAATTAAGTATTCAAAATGAGTAAAGCAAATTTAGCAAATTTGAAATTAATTAAATTCGAGTTTCAAAAATGTTAAAAATTAAAAAATAATTCGCGGGATTAATAAACAATATAAAAATAAAATATATAAGCATTTCTTATAATGAAGAATTATGCATTGAAGATTGTTAAATCTTATTAGCATAACGCAACTAAAATAAAAATCATGTAAAAAATAATTTAGAATATCAAATAGATATTACATTATTCAGGAAAAAAAAATTAGTTCCTAGCTAGAACAATAATTAGAATGTTATACATATATAAATTGATCAATGTTTATATCGCCGTTAAATGCTGCGAATTTGTAACCATCATATACATACGCGTGCTTCGACAGAAGTACAAAATATATTCGATCGTAATTTTAATCTTTTTACATGTTAATGGCCACGCTTCATCGCAGCAAGTATTATTATTAAATTCACGCGGGTAATTTCTTTCGATTCAAATTTGTTTTGCCGGAGAAATTATAGCGTACGCGAAATCCCAGAGTGAATAAAGTTGTGAGAAAAGAAAGCTATAAAGTCTGACGAAACGTATGTTCGTTATATTCAGAATCAATTTTGTAGATTATGATCTTGTTCTTCTTTGCACTGGGCGAATCGTGACACGAGTTTGAGACGCAATTCGAAAGAGCGGTCGTCAATTAATCGCCAATGTATAGGACTTAACGAGGGTAGTAGAAAGGATAACGAGAACCCGCGGCGAGACTTCGGAATTTTCGAATCGAACATCGACTCTACTCGAGAGAGAGAAAGAGAAAAACAGAGATCGCCTGAAAAGAATTAATTTTCACGGTGCGTAAGCTGTCATTCGTTTGCGTGACGCCGATCGTGAAGTCAACAATTTGCAAATCCTGCCGCAATTTAATATTTTTTTCTCTTTTTTTTTCTTCTTTTGCACGCGTTCTTCCGACATACGCGATACTTTCAGACACGTGAAAGCGCCACAACAGTATTTCACGTTAAAAAAATCTAAATTGGTCGATGAAGAAACGAGGACCCGGCGTCGTTTTATTTTCGGCTGCCGAAAATAAAATAGCCTCTATCCCCGCGTCTAATGACGAAATCGATCGCTTTCACTGGTAATTACGGCAGTTAAAGTAGTCGCCGAGAGTTCAATGCGAATCAGAAAGTTGCTCTGTTATTCGACATCAGATTAATTCGGCCGATGTAATACGAATGTAATTAGCGGCGGGGAGAAAGAAAGTTATCCGTTACTTCGCAAACATTATCGCGTCATGATTAATTATGCCGTTCGTGGAATGCAATTAGCAGAACAGGCACTTCTGTTTGGACGTATCGCAAACAGGTGAATATTTTGCGTTTACTACGACTCGAATGAGAAATATCTTTCCATTAGGGATTTTATTGAAAAGTGACGCGCGATTCGTTTCATAGGAGAGTAATTATTAACAGAAAAGGAATATTGTTGCACAAAATGTTCGCGTTTCTAAACAATTGCTTCGCGAAAGAAAGCACAGATACGAGGAACAGACAAATGATCGTAATTATACTCATTATGAAGGCTTCATGCGCCTGCATAATTTTTAACCTCCGAACACAGCGTGGGTCCAAAGGTATTAAATTCCCTCTTGAAAGAATAAGCCACGAAGTAATTTACAGCTCAGGGAGTGCCGACAGATATCCCTGGCTTTTCTTTCGTTGTTAGTCTTTCGTCGCTGTTCTCTCTTAATTTTTCACTCTCTTTTATCTTATTTTTTTTTTATATTTATATAATATTTAATTTTTTTAAGTGTATGTCAGCTCTCAAGTAAAATATTTTAGGACGTGGAATGTATATTTACATGAAAAGGACGATTTTGCTAAAAGCTCTAAAAATGTATTATTAAATATTTTGTTAAACTATCAACTAAAAAATGATGGGCATTTCTATAAAACGTTTCGATATCTTAGCAACTATAGTTTGAATTTGTAACAAAATTATTTTTAGATCTATATTAAAAAAAATTTTTTAGATCTTCCAGCAAAACAGTTCTTTGACTGTATCAGAGTAAGCGAATAAAGAAATTTATAACGTGCAAAGAAATAAAAATTTAATCGTGCCCACAATGTACTCTCTAAATCTGACTCAATGCATAGTGACTGATTATCAATGGTTATTCATTAAATGCATCAGTCCTAAGTATTTCACTGGTAATAAAAGAAAATTTATAGATTAATATTAATAATTTAATTATGGGTTATTAATGAAATTATAGTTAAATTATAGATAGACGCAATCAATTTTTTTTCAGTTCTTTTCCACTGATTCAGATTTAGAGAGTATTCGCAGACATTCGAAGCACTTGACTTTTCAATAAAATAAATGACTTACCGTGCACAGTAGTACTCCACTATTCGCTTGACTGAAAGTTCTGAAGACCTCTGTCCTTTCTTTCTGCGTCATATTGCCGTGTAATTTAAAGAATTCTACGTCAACCAGCGGATCGGAGTCCTCGTCATCGTCGTCTACTGGTTTCGTAAGGACAGAAGACAATATTTCGGTGTGATAATCTACCATGTCTTGTGTGGCCATAAAAATCAGCATTTTATGCTGCCCAGAAGTCTAAAGAGAAAAAAAAAGAAAAATTCTACTTGCGCACAAATCGTAAGTCGACACAACAACGTTGCATTGTTTCTGATTGTAAGAAATTGGAGACTGGAAGATTTTCCTACCTGACATCTCCCGGCGATGTAAGCGCTTAGAGTGACCATTCTTAATTTGGGCGGGGTGACTATGTAATTCTGAATTACGCTTTGCGGAACTATTAGGTCTTCGTTAATCGTCTCAGTGTCTCCCCCGCTCGCCTCTAAATTCTCTTTAGCCGCGTCAACGAAAATCGGATCGTGCATCGTGAGACCCGCCAATTTTTCCACGGCATGTGTCAAAGTCGCGGACAACAAAATTGTTTGCCTTCTCAATTGATTTTCACAATCCTGATCGATGTTTTCCACTTTCACATTTTCCGCTTTCGTTTCTTGATTGATACCGAAGTGCTTTGTATTTTTTTTTCTTTTTTTCGACAGAATGATATTAGCTGCCTGATCGTTGTCGCTGTCGTCACTCGAATGATTTGTTTGTTTCTGTTTCTTACTATCGGTATTATTTTTTTCTATTTTCGATTTCACATCATCTTCATTTAAATTTTCTTCAATTTCTTTATCTGTTTTCTTACTATTTTGCTTAAATATTTTCATAGCGTCGTATCCTGATTCATTATTAGAGCAAGATACTTTCAAAGCACTTACTATCCTAAATTGCATAACATATATTATCAATAAATTTTTTAGTTATTATAATTATATTCAGATTTACACTTTCTTATAGCTAATATAAATTATGAAATAATAATTGCATTAATCTATATATATAACATTAATCTACATATAAAATTTATAAAAAATCCGCAAAATTCTTTTGCAAAATAAAGAAAAGTACAAAACCTACCCAGAAATATCCATTTCGTATCCCATATCAAGCATTCTATCAGCTTCATCTAACACGAAATATTTAACGTCATTTAATCTCAACGCCTTTGTATGCTTGATGTGATCTAATAATCTACCGGGAGTAGAGATTAATATATTACATCCCTTTCGTAACCGAGCTTTTTCTGCTTTCCTCTTTTCTCCACCAATTATGTAGCCTGGTACGATCCACGTAAAAGGCTAAAATTATTTAAAATGTAATTACGTCTAATAAATACTAATGTACGCAAAATATATATATTTTGTCGAACTCACTTTAACTAGTTTTATAAAACATTCGTACGTCTGCAAGGCCAATTCTCTTGTCGGAACAACAACGAGGGCCGATAAACCGCTATTTCTATTTAATTTTGGCCTAATTTTGTGTAACAGTTCAACAATGGGTAAAGCATACGCTAACGTTTTTCCAGATCCTGTCTGGGATCTTATTAAAACATCCTTAATTGAGAATATTTGAGGGATCGCTTTTTGTTGAACTGTTGTCATTTTAGTTTTGCCCATATTTTGCTCTAAATTCGATATCTATGAGAAGAGGTATAAATTATTACTTTGCTACAAACATTTTCACTACAAATGTTACCTACATGGAAATACTAACCATAAACGGATGAATATTGAGATGTGCGAAAGTAATTTCTGTAAAAACTGTTTCATTTACTGGTTTTACAAATCGCTGGCCTATGGTTGGTACATCGGGATTATTGCCGAACAAGGAAAAAATTTTTCCACTAGCTTTGTTCATTAATTTTGAAGTTTTGACTGATTCTTTATTATTTACAATTTTCTTTTTATGTTTTATTTCTTTCTTTTTATTCGAGATATCTGTCTCTTTTGTGTTTTTTGAAACAGGTAATTCCTTAGCCACTACTTTGTGTTTCTTATTTGATTTGAAATTATCTTTAGAAGTATCATCTTTTTGAGTTAAATTTGGAGTATCTGATTCATTCTGATTTTTTGACTGACTCGAAAATATGTCAGAAAGTGATTTCTTCGATTCACCCTTTGACTCATCTCTCTTTTTCGCCAATAGTGTTCTACCAACATGTTCTTTTGTCGCCTTTGTAAAAGATACAGTTGGTTCATTTGTGGAATCAGAGTTTACAGTGGGAAGAATCTTGTCAGATTTTAAAACTGGTGGCTCCTCCTTAGCTACTTTGGATTTCTTGCTCGATTTAAAATTACTTTTAGGAATGTCGTGTTTTTTAGTCAAATTTAGTATATCTGATTTATTCAGTTTTTTTAGTTGACTTGAAAATATAGGAGAAACTGATCTCTTCGGTAGAACCGTTGAGTTATCTCTCTTTTTCGCCAATGGCACTCTACCATGTCCTTTTGTTGCTTTTGTAAAAGATACAGTTGATTCATTTGTAGAATCAGAGGTCACAGTAGAAGAAATCTTATCAGATTTCACATTCTTCTTGTTTGTTGCATCAAACTGTTCAATTTTTTTTGACTCTGCAGCTTTCGCTGTTACGCCTTTACCCTGAGATGGAACTTGAGGCTGCTGTACGTTTCGACTGGCAGTGTTTGCTTCATTCAACTTCCTGGAAAAGATAGCTGATAGTGACTTCTGTTTAATTCTTTTCTTGTGCCCCATCTCTTGCGTGTTCGCGTGTCTCTTTGACTCCCTGCTACCTGGTACTGCATCTTTGTGGAAAGGACTCTTTAATCTTTTAATTGAGGTTTTGAAAGACTCGGTTCGTCTCGGCGTGTTCTGAGCACAAACATTTATTTTACGTTACTCGCCAATCTATCTCTCTTACGTTTTTTGTTCAGTTGTTCTATACACAATTGCATAAAATTTGTGCAAATTCTTTGCACACATGTGGAGTGTTTCCTAATGTACAGAGCTTCCTAACCTAATCTAACCAAGCACCTACCTTCCTCGTGACTGGATCCGCCGTTACATTTAAACAGATGTCCATGTCTTGAATCGTTATTGGTAAGCTTGTTTACTACAAATCACTTTTCTTCTTATATATACAACACGCGGAAAAAAGGGCGCGTAAAAATCATAAGATAACGTTATAAACACGCATCCAACATGTTCTGAAACGTGGACAGTGGAACATGTGGCGAACTGCGCGAGTGCTGGCGCATGCGCACATTTCAGAGCGGAGCAATTTCCGTGTGTGACAAGTGTTTGTATGAAATATATATTTCTTAATTTTATTAAAATTGATATTAATTATGCATTGTATTAGTGTGCGATTAATATACAATTTTATATTGAGAAGCTGCTATATGTATAATATATATACAATATTATTAAATAAGAAATATATGTATAGTTAATTTAATATTAACAAGTAATAAGCTTTATTCTTTGAAAAATATAAATGAGTAATAAATTTACACTTACATATTATATTTACTTAATATTAAATTTATATATATATATATATATATACCTATGTATCTAATATATTTTTAACATATGATAAGTGAAGGAATATGTATTATACATGAATATATACGTGAAAAATATTAAATTTTTAACTACGAAATTATTATTTTAAATAAATAAAAATTAATAAATATATATATAAATTTAATATTAAGTAAATATAATATATAAGTGTAAATTTATTACTAATTTATATTTTTCAAAGACTAAAGCTTATTACTTGTTGTTAATATTAAACTAACTATACATATATTTCTTATTTAATGTTAAATTTATATTTGTTCTGGGAATAAAATAAAATGAAAATTGATTTAAAAATTTAAGGAATTATATATAATATTTCTCTTATCCATACAATTTTTATAATGTAATAAAAACGATTAGTCAGAATTCAGTTTTTATAACTGAAAATTATTGATGCACGCGCGTTCACGCGTACATCAATCTCAGGACTTGTATCAATTATTAAACAAAATGTATTTTAATAAATATGACTGTTTTTTTCTCTTGATAAATTGAAACGACCCTGTTGAGAAACACGATAAAACGCTGACGTGTTTGATTATCATGATTACAACCGTGTATCAATAAACGCGTCTCTTCGAGTTTGAAACAGCTATGGCAACATTGTCGCTGCGACAGTCGTACAATACGAAACGATTCTGTTCTTCCGTGGCGCCTGTTGAAGTCAGACTCCTGCCCGACAGTCGTCACATTATTCGACGGACGGAACGGAGCGTTAATTATTCGTTAACAGGTTCTGCAATTGTTACGTGGGGTCTCGGCCGCGCGGTACAACGGTGTGCGCGAGATTAATTTTGGAGATTGTCACTCTAAACGTCTATTTACCTCCGTCCATGTGTGTTTACATTTTTTACAACGTATCGTACAAGTGTCGTCTGGCAAGGTAACACGAAAAGTGACGCCGGTGAGACCGCGGGCTTCATTTTGCGTCCGTGAGGCAAAGCGATCAGACGAAAAGTTCATTTCGTCATGGCGACGAGCCGTAGCTTATGTTGCATCGGCGTGTCGTTCGCGACGAGGATAATTGGGGCATACACGATGGTAAGTGCAGTTTCATCCGTTCTACTCCGAATTCTTTTCATTCGAGGAACCGTCTGATTCGCGCGTTACATTAATTGATAGATATCGAATGTGTTGCAATCGTGTCAAAGAAATGCGCGGTAGACGTGACATCGAAAAACACGAGTGTTTATGTTTATAATAACAACACATTATTATAATAATTACACACAAATATGTCCAATGGGGAATATAAGACCTGTATGTTTTGCGATTTCCTTTGATGTGAGCACGTACACATCATGTTTCCGGTGCCGAGGCTGTCAATAGCGATATTATTGTTGAATTCAAAATCAAATAAATGATCATGCATATTTTCTACGTCATTTTAAATCTGGAGTCTAGGCGTAAAGTTATTATTTTAAGATAAATTACTTTTATGTTAGATATTTTTTCGTGATTCATATTGAATCAATTATTTTATTAAAAAATAAGCAAAATATAGTAGATTATAGGAGTAATCCATAAATAGTTGATCAAATATTTTCAGATACACATGCCGTTTTGAAAATTTGTATCGATCGCTACATTAATTTATTTTTATATTTATTTGTAGATATTCAGTTTTATTTATTTGTTAATTCTTTTTCCAGTCTACTTCAATTTTATTAATAAACGTGTTGGTAAGCAGCTTCTTCTCAAGGGACAGTGATGACGACTTTTTCGAATCCGTCAAGACTTGGGCTATACTGGGATTGAATTGGATGCAGGCAATACAGAGATACACGCAGCTCCAGAAAAAAGGTAAGGCTCGATCACACTTATTGCGCGAATTATTACTGTAAACGGACGGTATAACGTACGTAACGTTGTACATTTCAGCGCAAGCCGCCTTGATATGTTTCCTCATATATGCCGTCTCGTTTCTGGTGGCCAGCGGATATCTCACTATAGGATCGCTATCGGTGAGTGTTTAAAAGAAAATTATGTAGTTATTTTTAAATAACTACTTTATGTAATTATTTTTAAATAACTACATAATCTAATAGATTTTAAATATACATATATCTGAACTATTTAGTTTGTAACGTCACGTGGATAAAGAAGCAAACGGTCGAATGAAAGGGAAAAGTTGGTTTAGTTTACCACATTTCATCTTTCATCTTTATATTAATTTGATTAACTTGAGTTAATTTGAAAAATTATTAAATTATTATAAGTGTTAGTAATTTTGCGAATTCCTTTGAATTTCTTTCTTCGCAATATATCTAGCAGCAAAGTATAGAAATCTTGTATTACAATACTCTGCTCGCGATCGAAGTGCATGGTTTTTGTTATTTTCTTACGGTAAAGGTCGCAGTGACACCGCCGATCGAATACAAATTCGTCAAACCTTCTTTATCCGCGAGATGTATTTCGGGCACGTAACAGCCTTGTCTCTCAACTCGCTAACGACCGCGTTAACTTCCGCGTACGTTCACAGAAGAGACACACCAGCGCCGTGCCTTGGATGTATTTGCAAATGATTAGCGTGATAGATCAGACTGTGTCGCTATCTAATCATATAATACATGACCAACAGTCTACCTTATATTTGTGGTACACTACGGTATGCAGCGTCTATTTGAGTAAGTATATGTTTCTAATCTGTTTTTGTGATTCAACGTAAATCAAGAGATGCGGTAGCGTCTCGTGCCAAGTTAGCACATCCTCCTCCTTTCATGAACGAATCACCGTAGCGTATCCTTTGCAGAAAAACACTTTTATAGAAATAAATTATTATTCTTCAATGCATTCCAATCACTGACTTCTAAATATAAACATATCCTGAATTATCTCTGCGAATTACAATATATGCTTGCAATTAAATGCGAGCAAGTCGCTGTTAATCTAATTTGTCCTTAAAATAAAAATTATAAAATTAGTTGTTTGATGTGTCGTATGCATTATAGATAAAAAGACATATCCTTTTCGATTAATATCAAAGTAACTTTACTTTAAAAGAAATCTCGTAGGAAGCGTTTAATAAAAAGAGTATTTAACGTTATTAATCTAAGAGTTGCAATATATAATGATCTGTTACTAAATCTTTTGTAAAGATAAATTGATTTTACTAAACTATAAAAAAGTATGGTACATTCTTGGTATGCAAGATTTAGAGTGTAGAGAGGCAATAATTACACTTGACAATTACAGTTTTGAGCGTGTATTTCTGGATGGTTGTGGAATCAGCTCGAAATCAATGGTACAACGAGCGGAATCGAATTGCGAATTGCGAACCGAGCATGTTGGATTTTGAATTAGCAATAACGCCCACGAGTAGCGATCTAAAGTCACCGTCCTTCCTCTCGCAAAATTTTTCGATGTTCGAATCACCGCGTCCGTCGACGATTCTGCCTAAATAGCAGGAAGTCCATGAGGAAGCATGGCTAACTCTGAAACGATCCTGATAGACTTGCCGCCTGAGGCGAACTGTTGCCAGAACTTACAGGAGGATAATATTTACAGAACAATGTGAGAGGAAGACTGAGAAATTTCTTTCTTAATATTCCATTATTTGCCATCCTAACTTAAGACTCATGCGCTATATATATAGTATATTTATTTACTAAATATGAACTAGCTCATATATTTTGTAATAAATATCTACTTATAAACATCTCTCGTGTTTAAACTGCGCGATGAACATTTTTCTATGAGATTGTCATAAGATTATATTATTTCGTTAATATAATTTTTACACGTTTAATTTAGCAATTTATTATCGGTAACATAAATAGTCCTCTTATAATATTGTATAGTAAAGTTTATTGCAACGCGTGCGTGAAAAATATCAATAAGGCAAAATTTTAATAAAGAGCAAAGACACATTGATGAATGTGTCTTTATTCTTGAATGTGAAATTGAATCTAACGAAATGTTTGAAGCACTCTAAATTCCAAATAAGGCATGTTAAAATTTTTATTCCAAAAATATTTGATTAGTCAGTCAAGATTATTGATCTTAATGCATTTATTCGTGCGCTACATCGTGGCGTGCGTATTTCTGAGAATTTAGACGTTAAGCCGGCGGAATACCCTATTGATCTTCCTTGCCTAATGGAACGTACGCGAGTCACTAAACTTCACTACGGTAAATCCCGGTTTCGGAAACGGGGAAAATGTATAATAATGCGGAGAGTAACTTCATAAATCAGTCAGGAGATGCGACTAATAGAGTGTATCAAATGCGCCCCCGGCGGAGCGTGCTTGCATAGAAAATATGAGAAATGGCCACGTTTTACGTCGAAATACTTTTAAACTTCCTGGATTCGGATTGCACGCGAGCATATTCGCTATACAGGATCCGACCGTCTCTTTGGATAGAGGTCGATTTGTCCGAGAATGGCCGCAACTTTTCGCAATACTCTTGAGAATGGTGATCGAGTGTACAATAGATGATAGAGAAAAGCTCTCGATACAATTTATTGGAGATATTTTGTCGTATCGATTTCATATAACATATACATCTATGTTTGCAAGGAGGTATACTCTAATAATAGCACATATATGTAACATCTATATGATACATATATTGGAAATGAGGTCAATCTCTCTTTTATTTTATTGAATCTTATGTTATTTCAAAAGTAAATGTGAAATTTAAAATTTTGTTTAATAAGTTGATCTTTTTATTTTCGGCTCTAGAAATAGATAATTGTTTAAATCTTGATTGATTTCAACTGAAACATTTATATACAAGAGGACTAGCTTTGTTAATTATTATATTCACTATTATATTTAGTCATAAGCTGTCAATAAAGAACATTTCTATTTTTATGTTTGTAATCTTATTTGTAGGAATTTATGAGAAACAAATTTTTTGCCAACAAAACTTATCAAACGTATTTATTTTCTGTTGCTGAAGGAAGTAAACTAAAGCAAGTAACGATTAAGTGTAAGACGAGAGAAAAACTAATGTTTTTTATTAAACAATCTGCGTTTGATATTTTGTTAAATCATCTCTCCGCCGTGACGTGGAGTAATACTTCTGGATTTTTCAGTCGTCGACACGGTCCTGGCGCCGGGGACAGACGGAAAGCGGGTTGCGCGACGTGGTTGGTTGCCGCTGCTTTTAAAAAGAACTGAGCGAGTCAATTTGTAGGCTGTCGCAAACTTTTAAAACACTAGTTGACAGCCGTTCCACCCCCGTCGCGACGCCCGTCCAACCATCCTGAAGGATTCCTCCGTCTCTCTCCTTCTCTTTCCTTCCGCCTCTCTCTCGATCTCTCTTTCCCCCTTCGTCCCCGCTCAACCGCGCTACCGATGAAGGACCGGAGCCCACCCCTGCGTGTCGCGGCAGCCGATGGATTGTAAAATAAAACTAACTTGGCTCTTTCGTGGCTCGGGAACGGGAGTACCGGCGAAATCTCATTCCCGCGGATCTCTTTTATTTTCGTGTACCCCTTTTTTTTATTCATCCCCCCCCCCTCCCTCTGCGCAACGAAGGGAGCCGCGGACGGTTGTTGAGTACGATCAGCGAGTCATGTCTGTTTGAATAAAATGTTTGCCCTGCGCAGAAAGCTTAATGAGACCTTCGTCTTACGGGATTCATGCTTAGTCGCTAAAAGTATTGCAACCCTTTATCTTTTTATTTCGAGTTATAATTAGTCAGCATCTTCCCGTTCAGAGAAATATCATATATAGCATTGCATCATGTAACTACAATAGAAAGTATTAATTGCAAATATCAATTGCTCGTTTTAATATTGCAATGAAACATTGTTTTAAAAGGTTTATTCACAATTAGCGGCATTAAATGCGCAAATGGATTAAACGTGCTAGAAAATGTAATTTAATTATAAAAACGTAATGGATGATTAATATTCATATTGCATAATATTTATTGTGATTATGACTGATATTAATTCTGATCTGGAGTTGCCACATTCCAGAATCTTTCTGCATCCCGTAACATTTCTACATCTCGAAACTTCACCGTCCTTCCTGGGCGATTTTCCTTCAAAACGGATTTTACGTGACCTCGCCTACTTCGAGTCGTATCGAGCGGCCGAAGAAGAGAGTACCCGCTCGTATGACACACATAAAACGTAGCCGCTACGTAATTAATCTTCTCGCATGACACTTTAGCTGGTTACGGGGCAGAGCTTGCCAAGAACCAGAACACAACATACCACTTAAGCCCGCCGCCCAGAAAACAATTAATACGGAAATTGATTAATAATTACCGCGCCCCAATTTCCACCCTCTCGGACTCTCGCCAGTCACTATAACGAGAGAGCGAGGAGAGAGAGAGAGAGAGAGGGAGAATTAAAGAAAAAAGAGCATCAATAATCTTGCAAAAACACACGCATCCGGTAAGGTTCGCAGTTCCACAATATTCGTTCGTTACCTTAATTCGATAGCGATTAATTTTCTGTTATTTTGGGCATAAATATTATTTGGGCCTAAATATTATTATTTTGTTTATAATTAATCATATTTTTATATTTTGCCGCGTTCTCTGTTCATTCAAGGAGATTTTTCTCAGAATATATAGGTACACTTAATTCCTTTCTCCTCTTTTTCGATAAAATATTTTTTCAAACGAGGTATAAATTATATCCGGAATTTCCGGAATGGGCGGCAAAAATTCCGCGTTGAAATCGGCGTTTTATCGACAAAATTTAAACCATCGCTCGTTGTTCCGCTTTCTTTGTGGCATTTATACGTGCCGGGAGAGCGAAGAGCCGATTTGGCATTACTTTTCTAGACAGACAGATTTTATTGATCTGTGCACCGTGGCGGCTCTCTCTCTCTCTCTCTCTCTCTTTCTCTCCCTTCTTCCATCTCGCTCTCGCGAACGAGTGAGGGCCGCGGAGTCAGAGCCGAGAGAGAACGGCGGAACTGAACGCCCCATAAAGCTAACCAATGCTAATACTTCTCGTCTCGGCAGTGGCGTCGGTGCCGGGCGGCGCGACGCCCGGCCGTCGATTCGCCACGACGTCGGCGGGGAAGGACGCACCGACGCCGCTGGCCCGGACCGGAATCGGCAATAAACGCGTAACCGAGCCTAATTCGTAATGTTGGCCCAGTCATTGTGGACTATTGTGAATCCTTCCCTCCCCCCTCGTCCCGTACGCCGGGGACGATGAGAATAATGCTGGGGTTATCGCAGGAAACTGCCAGTAACGGTGGCAAGAGGTATGCACTCTCCTCGATGCGCCATCGCGGACGTACCGTCCGGCTCTCCCTTATTTCAGTTTTATCGCGCGTCGCTCGCCACTAAATTGATATTCGTAACGCTGAGCCGAGATTACTAATTTATAGACGAACGAGAGGAAACTGTGTATTCGCGTCTTGAATCGATAACACGATGCTTGATGTAAACCGAAGGCTGTCGATCGTATAGCGATCGCGCGCAGAAACAAGTCTAAATTATGCAAAATATTTAAACGATTATATTTTACAAAAATAAAAAATTTTATTGTTAATTTTTATACGGAATAAGTCAATCAGTTAATCAACTAAATTAAAGATTGTCGAAAATGATTTCATATAATTTACACAATTAGAGATTATAAAAAAATTAATATTGCTATAATAACGTTGTAAAAGGCTTACGTTATTACCAAATAGCTAATGATAATACGTTTTAACGGATAAACTTCCGTTGAACAAACTTCCGTGTGCAAATCTCTATTTCCTTCGGCAATGCTCATCTTTTCCCGCTTATGAAAGTCGATTCATCATCGACTCGGTAATTGCAGCATTTGCGATGCTACATTAGCGTTCTCCGCTTTGCCTCTATTCAGTGATTGTCCGCTGAACGACTTCGAGAAATTTGCAAGATTCAATAACTTACGGCAAAATAAAAATTGCAACATTACATTGGACTTTCATCTGGCTATTACTATATGCGACTTATACAGCTGGGGGGGGGGGTAGTTCTTTTCATTAAAGAATGTGTCAGGTTTCTTGAATTTTTGGGAAATCAAAAATTTGTCAACGTTTAATTGTCAGGATATACTCTGTCTATAATACATAATTTCCGGTAATTTCTGGTTTGTTAATGCGTTTAACATTGGATCATCATCGTTCTGTGTTTTGGGAGAGAGATATATCATTCTTACTGGCAACTTTCTTAATAATTTTGTTAATTTCGGCTGTTAGCGATTTTTATTTCATCAAAAAGCAAAAATCTTCGACACACACCGAAATACCATGTTTACAAGTAGATACAGTAAAGAAAAATTTCACTATATTTTGAATTCTGATTATATTATAGTAATTTCTCTCGTGCACCAGAATGCCATTCTACTGGTAAGAATTAAGATAAAATTTTTGTTAGACGTTGGAACTGTTATGACATTACTGATAGAGAAATCTTTTCTTATCGGTTTTTCTGCGCATTTTTAACATTGCATTAAGCAACATAACATTAAGTTACAAGAACAATTAAGAATACAAAAACATAAATCTGACATTTAATATCGATAAATATAAGAATAATCCATAAATAAATTCCGCAAAAGAAGTAGGGAAAATTTTAGTTTACGAAATAAAATAAAATTGCGCGAGTCCCGTGTCGAAAAGTTCGTTCTGCAAGGACCGTCCAGAGATTTCAGCCAAACGCCTTAGCATATGAATGCCGCCTCTGTCCCGCGAGATATACGATTTTTTCCCCATTCCCCCGTGAATGGAAATTCGAAAACGCGGACTGATGACCGGAAGTTTGGTGAACACGGGGTGGGGAGAATCTCGGGTGTATCTCCATCGTTGGAATGAGGATGGCACGTGCTCATTTTCTTTATCTTTGTCCTTCAAGGCCGTATGTATAAGAACGGACCTACAGGACGAATGTGGAAGGGGCGGAGGGGGTGCGGCGGAAGTAAATTTGTGAGCGCGATGGACGGCCGCCGACACAATGGCTGCGTTTAATAGTACATTAAGCACATCGCGGAATGACCTCGGTCGTGACCGCCGTGACGAACTTTTCCTTGGACAGCAGGACACAATGATCACATCCGGACACGCGTCCCCCACAGAGGGATGAAAATCTTACGGGCGTGTGCAAAAATTATTGTTGACCGTGTATATTTATTAACTGTATTTTGATCAAATTTCTATTAATTAGAAATCAAGCAACAAATTAAAGCGTAGTAAAGATTTGAAAAACAAATATTTTTTTAAATATATTTTCTTGAGTTTAATTTTGGAGCAGAGTATATATTCATTATCTTGAAATTTTTCCGAGCATTAGCAATACTAAGTATTTTATGACTGGAATGAAAAGGTTTGCAATGATTTGATAACAACGATAGTTTAATTGGATCGTCAAAGTAATCAGCATTAATCTTCAGATAACGCAGTCAACGTATTCGGTCAATAATATTAAAGATCAGTAAGTTTGCCGGAATTGCTCGGTAAGATTATCAACTTATTTACATTGAATGAAGCTAAATTTCCGCGTCGCGCCAGGAAATAAAAATTGTCAATTGCTTCGAAGAACTAATATCAAACACATCTACCGTTTTACCGTTCATAAAATCGCGAACAAATGTAGAAGCAAATATTTGGCTTCAACTCGCCGTAATCACTTGAAAATGATACGCTACGCCGTTCCGTAAAGGAGAAACAAGTTCTTTCTTTGCG